AGCATGCTTTAAACCAGTTTGGGTGTCTCCAAATGCAAGGCCTGGTGCCCAAGATCTAGCTGTTGTTTAAGAGAAGCTGAATCACCAGCGCTTACTCACAGCAAAATGAGCAAATGGCTTCGTAACAAGAGTTATGGCTGTGCTAAAAACAAAAGCCAAGAACTTAAACATAGCATTTCCAGACTGCAATTCTGTGACACTTCAATATTTAAACAAAATATTACAAAAACCTCAAAGCAAAGATCTGACATTTAAGGATAGGGCGTCAATATTGTACTGTAGCTTTCATCAAAGATATGTGAAAATGAAAACCAGAAAATGAGGCAGACTTCATCTACATCACAAGTTGTAATGCACTGGATATAAAAGACTTTCAGAACAAAAGAACAGCATTTTGGATAACTGCATAATAATTTACATAATTATTGCCCAAAGTCCTCTATCTGTTAATAAAGGAAGCAAAAAAGTGGACATAAAGACTGCACAGTCTCCAATATAACAACACATAGAAGCTTGTGTACACCAATGCTGCTTTCAGCTAAGACAGATTGGAGTTTGGTGATTTGACATCTAATTATTTATATCTTCAAATCCCACATGTGAGAAAATCGCCTTGCTAGGAACAAACCAAACAGCACTGGGAAAATTAACATTCCCTGCTCATCTCAATCAATCGATACAGCTGGCTTTTAGCAGTTAGCAGAGGCTTGGCTAAGTACTCTGGTAACAAACGTTGCTTTCGGCTGCAACTCAGAGACTGGTCGTTGCCTATGGGGCATCAAATTCAGTGAGCTTTGAATTTGGTGACCAATTATTGCAGCTTTGTGGCTGTTCTCCTGGAACAGAGATACACACTGTCCTCCAGGTGAGTCTCTGGAAAGGTAACGTGCTGAAGAAACACCCAAGGACTGCAAAGCTGCTAACAGCACAAACTGAAATGGTCAGAAGTCAGAGTGGGAAAAACCCAAACAAAAAGGATGCAATGAGTCCAAGCGGGGAAAGCATCAAAGAGAAAGCAAGCAGGTGTTTTGGCACAGAAAGGGTGAAAAGACGTGAAGTATTCTGTGCTGAGCTGATTAGGATACAGCTGACAGGAGAGGACTGGGGCAGGGAGAAATTTTAAGTGATCTTTTTGAAGCACCCAACAGTCTTGAATAATGTATACATTTTCTCTGGATGCATTCTTTTCAATCCGTGTTGAAGCTGATTGACAGAAAGCTTGGCCACGTTGGGTTTTCGTGCGCGTATTTTTATCTTTTTTTTTTTTTAATATTATTATTATTGTTTAAACAAATGAAGCAGGTAAAGAAGGGGAGCAGGAAAACATCACAATGACTCCGGCATGTGCTCATCGGTACAAGACTCAGACTTCTGAAGGGAAGATGCATTGTCTAAGTAATAAGTAGTTCATTACTTGGAAGCACGGTGTAACAAAGTAATCACTGCTGTTAGCTTTCTGTTAGTTGTCCTCCGTGCATTTTCTAACAAGGCATCTCAGTTCTTGTCTCTGTCACTGTGCACTGATTAGGACAGCACAGGTTTTTGTTTCCCATGTTTGTTTTTTTTTTTTGTAAAGGAGGATGCTTTTCAAATTCAGGTAACTTGCAGCACAAAGCAGCTACTCCACCATTTAACAATGTGTAATATGGAAACCCATGTTAACTAGACTTAGTTTCAAAGAGCAGAAGAAACTGTGGCACAGAAAGCCTCTAATTACCAGTAACAGATGATCATTAGTTCCTTTAAGCTGCATAAATAACTCTGTGCTCATAGAACTGGAGTTCTGAAAGAACACGGGTCACTTCCACTTCTAAAATCAAAAATGACTTCGTCAACTCTCTTCTCTCTTTTAGTACAATTTATTCCTGCCTGTGCTACAGAAATACTCCCAATTCAGTGCATGGGGAGTCAAAATGCACCATCTGTCCAATGTTCCTGAGAAATTTCAAAGGGAACAATGGCAGAAGATATGGAGGCTGTTGTTCTTGGAAACAGCAGCATCAGCATGGGCAGATTAACTTCTATTATACATTGGGGTGTGCAGGCTAGACTGTATACATTATACTCCTGTCTGCAGTAGAAAACTTGTACTTCACGGCTCTGTGCCCTGTAAAATCTGTACAGCCATCAACTGTACTTCTATATTGCTTACTCAAATAAGTCACACTCGAATTTTTTCGTAAGTGAATTCAAACCTATTCATACTTCTGCTTGCACTCATATTGTGGCTTTTAAGAGATCGCCTTGCACGCTTCCGTGTGAAAAAGCTGCGTGAAATTGAAACCAGACTAAAGTTAAGTAATCCTTCAAAGAATGGATTTTGGATCAGGTGATTGAATTGCAAGACTGGTATTGCAATGGTAGTTATGCTTTTAATAAAGTGCTTAGAAGAATGAGAATCGGCAGAACTGCTGATGCATTTAGAATCTGAAATTCTCATTTTTATGAAGTCAACTCAAAGCCCGCTTTCCAGAGACTCAGTATATTCTAGGTCTAATCTATAGAAATGTCTGGAAACGTAGAAGATTAAACACTGAATATTCCTCAGCAGAGTAGAGACAAAATAGCACTGCATCAAATAACTCATGCTTAAGTCTGACTGCCAAATATCTTACAATTCAGTTTTGCTCTTCCTGAAATTAAGGAAAAAAAAAATTAAATCAAGGGAAGAAAAAAACCCAACCAACCAACAACCTCTTTTTCTTCTGGATTGGTTTTCCGATGGTTTAAATTATGAGGATCTTTTGAGCATCAGCACAAGGACAGGAAGGAGGCAGGAATGCACAGCAGGAAGTAGAGAACAAAATTTATATTGATTTGTTTTGTCAGGGAATCATTCCTTGAATCTTCTACTGCACGTCTTAAATCACCCCTTTCTGTTACATTTAAAACCCAGCAAGGTTACAATGGCCCCCTAAGCTTTACTAATTTGGCATTCAGAAATGTGAAGCCCTGTCGCTGCAGCTGTTTCACTATATTTCAATCTCCAGTTGCGCTATAGCTGACTATTCTTAAATTCTTAGATGAAATTCGTTAAAATATTTTTTGAGACTTGTGTCTGTACTTAATTACTGTGATTTTTCTTTACCAAGCTCACTTTTGGCATACGTCGTTTCCTCTGATTTTGGAAAAGGAAACATACATCCATTGCACAGCAAAAGCGTAGATGCGTTCAACAAAATTTAACTGCATACAATATTACACCCTTCAGAAACCTGTATGGTTACCCCCTTAGAAACTTTTATGGGACTTCTGTAACATAAATACATGCAAAAGACAAGGATATAGAACTTCCCATTCCATTTTCTTACCGGCAAAACTGTGCACGTGAGGCCATCAGCTAAAGGAACTCTCCTTCTTGCAAGCCATTTCTGTGTCAGAATCAGCGTTTCAAGTATCCTTGATACGATTCTTAAGATAACTGCTAGCCAAATTCTGTGTCTTGTTCTGTTGTTGTACAAGCAGCTGCCAGATGGTAATACAGAGAAAATGCATTTAATGTCGGTTGCCTAACTAGAAAGCAGATGGCACAGCAGAAGTTGGAACAAGGTGTTTGCCAGCTCGTTCTAGCTTCCAGCTGTGGTCCCATGCTGCACCATGGCCACGTGGACAACGGCCTTTTCACTGTCACCATGATGTCCATATCGTATTTCAGGCAAAACTGTGTGCTCGTTCAGAAAGGTGAGTTGACAGCTTTCTTTTGTCCCTTCTCCCCCAAAGATGCACTGAAGACAACGAGAAATGTGCATGCAAAAGTCAGAGGGTCAGCAGATTCTTTATTGTAATGAAGCACGGGAACTGGACACCTGGAGATCTTCTTGCATGGGCCTGAAAGTCATTGGAAGCAGCTTGGATGGACGGTCTGGTTTTGTAACTCAACTTCTCAGAACTGTTGTTGGTTTTGCTTGGTGGATATTTTGCTCTGAGCAAGACAGTGCCTCATGCTTCTTCAGCCAATGGAAGAGCATCTGGCTTTTCAAGCTTGGGAGTAGTAGCAACACTTTCTGGATCATTGCAGATTACCCACCAACCATCTCTTCAAATAACAAAACTTTCCTGGCTGAGATGCAGCTGAGGTACGTAGTCTTTGCCGTGTGAGAAAAGTAAACAGCCTGTCTAATGAAATGCTCCAGCTCCAGCAGATGCTGCTTCCACGTCTTCCTCAGGAGAAGGTAGGGGACAGAGTGACAACACTGGTTATTCTATTTGGGAGAAGATAATCATTTATAACTCAGGCTGCTATAGGGCTATAAAGCAGGGTGAATCAGGGGTCTGAATGCAGAACAACTACAAAGAACTCTGTCATCACTAAAAGCCTCCTAGAAGTTTTCATTACACTTGGCAATCAGTCAAATGTTATTTAAAGATTCGCTCTTTGTTATTAGCTGTAATTTACATTGATTCCATTCTTGATGGTTGGTTATGCCTGTATCTTTGCTCATTCTTTCTTATCAAGTCTGTTCCCCGTGTGCTTTGATCGCACTTAACCATTCCTGTAATAAACAAGAGGACTGAGATCCTTTTGTCCTTCCCATTAATTGTTATTCCTTTTGATCCCTCTGGAAGTAGTTCTCCTAGCCCTTCTAAAGCTTGCAAGAGTTGTGTTCAATTGGGGATACCATGCGCTGACACATTTTAAGGGGGTGGTCAAGACTAGGGAAAAATTTATAGGGACTGCAGAGGGAGATGAGACTGAAGCAGAGGAGGGAACTGCTCAGCACTTCGTTACGGGATGCCTCCTTCCCAAGTGATTCCCAGTCAGAAAGTTCCCAGCAAAAAGCCGGTAGGAGGCTCCACAGAAACCGAGGTGTCTCCCGCCCCGCAGTGCTGCTCCTGAGCTGCCCGAAGCACGGCGCGAGCACCTCCGCCTCGCGCTCAGCCCGCGCGCCCCGCCGCGGGACTAAGGCGGGAAACCGGAGGGGCGGCGAGCGCCATCTCGAGTCACGCCGCCTCCTCTCGCGAGAGCAGCGGCGCCCAGGCAACGGCAGGACGCTGCAGCCATGGAGGCGGATGAGGAGGAGGCGGCGGGCTCTGAGGCGTCGGTCTACCTGCAGAGTATCCTTCCGTCCCGCCGCAGGGTGCTCCCCTCGCCTGAGGCGGGCGGGCTTCGGGCTTCGCCGACCCCTCTGTGCCCCTCTGTGCCCTCAGCTGACGGCCCGGGGCGGGAGCTGACCTCGTGGAGCTGTGAGGAAGGGACGAAGGAAAATGTTACTGGGTAGCGCTGGGAAGGGAGAACGTGCGGTTGTTGCTGCGTTGAGGCACCCCGACTGAGCCTCGGGGTAACGTTATCCCCTGTGGGGCTGAAAAGTTAAAATTCTCTACCGGAAACCTCTCGTTGCCTCTTGTGTGTTAGTGTTGGTGGTGAAACACCACAGAGCTGCCGGTTCCACGTGGCGCTTTGGGTCAGATCATCCTTATTTCGTCAGGCACTGCCAATAGTGTAGCTCTCTTGCTAGGGTTAGGAGGTAAGCCCATTAAAAAAGGAAAAAAGCTGCGTGGTGAGCTGAACAAAGTGCTCTGTCATTACGTGTTTAAACCAATCCAACAGCAACACAGCGTTTGTCGGGGGAATGTCGTGGTTTTAAAGCTGTTAAAACGGTGTTCTGTGGTGTAATTGTATGCCTGCCTATCAGTATTCTTCATGTAAAGGTTTAGTCTGTGCGCTGTTGTTTGCATCGGTGCAAGGAAACAGCTTTTCCTTGTTTTCTTCTGAAAGTGTTTTACTTGTGAAGGCATACTGTGGATAGAGCTGCACTGAAAGATCTGATAATTGTGGAAAGAAGAGTCAAAGGGGGGAGTCTGAGCTGAAGAACCGCCTGCAGGCCATGCAAAAGATACCTTTAGAGAAAATAGCCTGAAAAGACTAGCAAACACGGTGTGGATAAGTTGGGATGTCAAAAATGTGGTTTAAATGTCCTTTATTTAAACTAATGTTGATAAATACTGCACTATGAGGTGATGAAGGGGCTTAGGAATCCCAGAGAAGTGTTCAGATGTTTAGTTTTCAACATACATATCTGCATATTCATGTATATGGAAATAATCACGGAGTTCATTCAGAAATGTACCCAAGTGGTCACGCTGTGTGATGTGACCATTCTGTAAAGGGAGTGTGTCTGGTTAGTGGTGGAATATCTTAAGAAAAAAGGAAGTCTTAGGATATTACCCTAACTTGACAGTATTGGTGTGTCTTTGTCTCAGATTCCCATCTGTTGCTGTCCCTGGTTTTAGAACGATAACGGAAAGCTGTTCCTTGCTTTCGCTGTGCATTTGTGCCTTGCTGTCATTCTCATTTTCTTATGTAATTAGCAGTTCAGATGGGTATTTCTGTCTGCGTTGAATGTACAAAGTGCAGGGATTGGGATTTGTTTCGCTGCCATGTGGTCAGACCCTGCTCCTCAGTGTTCCTGTTGTTTGGGGGAGCTGGCAGACAGCTCTAGTCCACCCTTACGCCCCAGTCCCTGGCTGTTTGCCCACCTTGGTTGGGATGCAGCTCCTGAAAGTCTTGCCATAACGTAAACTATTACCACCTCAGTTCTCTTACATCATCCTCGTATCCTGGAATACTGTGCTGAGAAAAAGTGCATTAATTGAACTGTATGCTTTATTTTATCTGCCACTGAAGTTGAAATTCACGATCCAGATTACTTGTGTGATGGAGAACAGATGTAGACCTGCTGAAGCTCATCACTGGAGGGTGGGGCTCCTGTTGTTTTTATTTGCTTTTCCCTCTGAAAGAAAACACGATAACCTTTTTATTTTATGACTTCCTGCACAGTTCAGGTGTTAGAATTTAAATTTGAGAATCATTCCAGTTAGAGAATAAAGATTTTACAGAGGAAGAAACCTGAGGTGCAGAGAGGCTGTGACTTGCATTTGAGTCCTCTGTGCCACATCTGCAGTAATTAGGGAAGAAAATATGAGGGCATGTCAAACAGGTGTTTGCCTTTACATACCTAAGCCTAGGTGGGAAGCTTACAAGAAGCATTCATGTCAGCTTCCTATTTATGTATAAGGTTTTTGTAGAAAGCATGTGGTGTAATTGTGCAGTTCTAGATACGCAGATGTGCTTTGACTTGATTACTGAAAGTTAGACCTTTATTCACACAGAGATTTGACTTTTTTTTTGGTTTGTTTAGAAAGCAAAATGATGCCTTTCTAACTGTCACCTTAAGACTCAGGTCTTTACAAACGAAAGGTGGTTATTTCTTTAGGGGTAAGGCACGTGAGCCTTCTGGATGGTTGCAGTTCAGCTGATAACTTGCATGCTGCAGTGCTGGCATCTTGAATCCAGATTGAACTTTGTATGTATTGCACTGCACAAACTGTAGCAAAAAGCTGTATTGTTGTGTATTTTTTGCCTTGTTTGTTTTAGTTGAAGACTTCAGATTAGGGAAGTGATATTGAGCTAGAAAATCATGGCTTTTTCCCCATTTTCATTTTCTTCTGTAAAAAGAAGTTACCATTTAAAGTGGCTGTGTGTGAAGCAGTGAATTGCCAACTGTTCTTTAGAAGTTAATTCTAGTTTATTTACGTGGGTCGTTTGTAGGCTAACTGATTTCCTAGGGAAACAGCCGTGCATCTTACAGAAAACATTTTGGTTAGACTTCCCAGAGCTGCCAGGCTGGTGGATGAGATGTTTATTTTAGTTTTGTTTCACACCATTTGTTATTTTAATGAAAAGTCTGCCTCTGAAGCATTTGGGGGAACTGTAAATAATTTGCAGTGGATTTTTACCGTTTCAGGATTCACTTCTCTTTGTACTGTGGATGTGCTGAGGTTATTATTTAAGGCTCTTGCTTCAGCTTTGGTGAAGTATTCAGTGTTTGATCTCTGATGTTCAGTTTTGCACTCGCCTCCATTTGGTGTGGTTAAGAGCAGGGCTGAGGGTGCTCATCACAGCTGGTTGTCCTTTGGTGTGCATGCATCAGACGTTTCAGCCTTAACAAAACCTGCAGAAATTACTATCACAGACTACTCTAAGGATGATTATCAGTATGAAGAGGTAATTTGCTCAATTGATTATCTTATGCGATATCCGTAGTATTCATGTTGGATTTTGTTGCTTCGCTTCAGCATAAAAGTAACTTAGGAGGAGCAGTGAAACCCTTTTCTCAAGTGTGATGATGAGTGGTCAAGAGAAGATTTGTTATGAGCTTTTGTTACACCTTTTATTTCAAAATTAAGTATTGAAAAGAAACAGGTGTATCCATTATTGTTAATGAACAGAATCATAGACTCATGTAATTGTTTGAGTTGGAGGGGACACTTAAAGGCCATCTAGTCCAACTGCCCTGCAGTGAACAGGGAAACTTCCAGCAAGATCGGGATGCTCAGAGCCCATTTCAGCCTGACCTTCAATGTCTCCAAGGATTGGAAACAAAATGTAAACAGGCAAAACATTTTTAATGGGAATGAGATTGTTTTCAGTAGTGGTGATGGAGGTAGATTGGGAAGATTCATAAAACATTGATACTGGTGCTCTAAATCCTTTCATTTAGGTGTCAGCAGATGATGAATTCAGTCTTCAGGAAGGTGACGAGGATCTGGCTGAGGCTCTGCAGGCTGTTCAACAGCAGGCTGAAGATGCTCACATTTTAGTAAGAACTTTATGACAAATCAATAAGACTGTGCTTTAGCTGGTTTTACTGGGTCAGAAAGTAAGTCATCACTTAACTGAATTATGAGATATTTTGTGGAGAAGACTAAACTTTTTAGAAGTTTACTTAGGACTAAACGTGTCACAATGGAAAAAGATAACTTGAGTTACCTACGTGCCATCTCCCTTTAACTTTCATTCATTTTATAGCTGTAAATCAAGTCATACTTCAGATACATAATTTGTTTTAAAACATGAGTAAAATCAATGAGATTCTGTTTTATTTTGTGGGTAGAATGAGTGAGAATGTGATCCCTCACGCAAGAGAGCAACTGCTTGTACTGAACACCCACAGAAATGTGTACCTGAATACTTTGCTGAAGGAGGTTGTTTCTGTATTAAAAATAAAGAAGACACTGCTACATTGTGCTAAATTAGAAAATGATCACAGAATCATAGTGTGGCCTGGGTTGAAAAGGAGCACAATGCTCATCCAGTTCCAACCCCTGCTGTGTGCAGGGTCACCAACCAGCAGACCAGGCTGCCCAGAGCCACATCCAGCCTGGCCCTGAATGCCTTTCACATACAGCATTAGTTTTGAGTGCCTCTTATGTTTACAGTTGGTTTTCAGAACATCATGTGATAGTTTGGAGTTGCACACTGGGATCATTATATTGCATTTTCCTAAATACAGTCTGCTGAATTTATTGAGTTGTTGCAATCTAATGGAGAAGTGCTTTTCCCTGTCTTACAGCCTCATCGGGAAGCTATTATCTCACTAATATTTTGCCTTTGCAAAACAGACTAAGTTCAGGTTCTGAATGATTCTTACTGTCAGAATGGAGGAAAAATCTGTATTTTCTTTTGCTCCAATCATTTCTGCCTTTGAGATGACACTTTGAGTAAAACCTAGCAATAGCCAAGTCTTGATGTGTTTTGAAGCAAGGGAAGGTCTTCAGAAGCTTTTAAAACTGATAGTTAACCAAACATTGGATAATGCTCTTCAGGGATAACTGCAGTTGTACCTATTTCAATGTGAGAACTGGTGATCAAATACAAAGAGAAACCAGGAGTAATATCTTCTGTTATTTGACGGGTGGAATAAGGAACTAATATTTTACTGCTCTTGATTGAGTTTTAAGGGAATGAAAAGGTATCTGTCCCATTCATTCCAACTGAAGATACTGTGAGCTTTACTTGAATCAAAAGAAAATGTAGTTTAATTCAAGATCTTCTTGATTTTATACTTACGCTAGCAGGTGTCTGCCTTGCATCATTTTTTGAAGGCTTCAATTTTTGGAATTGGCTTCCATTATTTTGGAATTCAAATCATTATTTCCACCTCTAGACAGACAGCCATGGAAGCAAGAAGCAAGAATGAATATACTTGTTAGTTCCTGGATGGTTTTCATAAGGATGTGCAGTGGGTTTTGTGAGGCTCAGAGACTTCGGTGGTGCTGAGAACCAAGCGCTGCACAGGTGCTTGCACTGACCCCAGTAGAAGCACCGTGGCCATGAAGGAATACTGAATCAATGCTCCAGCTGTGAGCTAAGAGGCACGCTGGAAGGCTGTCTGCACACAGTAAATAATCAGCTTGGCTGCAATAAGTTACATCAGGTAATAACTGCATCCTCGGAGAGCTTCACTGCAATAGTGCCAAGTGATTCTTGTGTCTAGTTGCTGTTCATAGTAACCTGTATGCCTAATTCCTTACTGAAGATTGCGTTTCAGTGTTTTGTGCAAATGTTTATTTAAAAGAGAAAATTTACAGAGAAAGCATGGATCAAGTGAGCATCCAGAAATATTTTAGCAGTTTGCCAAATGCAGGCACTCAACTCAGTAACTGTGGGTATTTGTAGCTACTGCAGTTTCTTTGACACTCTGTAAGAGAAAGGTCAAGTGTAGCCCGGAAAACCTAATTCTTATTTTCAGACTTCCTTCGGAAGTCATTAGCACTAATTGCTAAATGAAGGAGAGCAAACATAAGCAGACGAGGTGATGCATTTCAGCATTTTTTCTCAACTTTAAAATACCGGTATGTATGTATTAAAGCTATGTCTCTGCAGGGGATATTGAGGTGGGTTTTTTTTTGTTGTTGTTGTTGGCTTTTTTTTTCCCCTCTCCTGGGTTTGTGCCTGGGTGCAGTGGAACTGTTGGTCTTTGCAGGAGTCTGGGGCTCCCTTGCCTGGAAATTGCCATTTGAAGTGCACTTCTTCATGTTTGGATCCTCAGAGAGAAATGAGGCAGATGGAGCCTCATCTCTAAATGCTGTTTTCCCCCCCAGTCGGAGGCAGCTGATATAAAACAGAGTCGTGCAGGCCAAGGCATGATTTGCATGGTAGTGATTGTACTTACTGTTTCTGTTCCCTTTGTCCTTTTCTGTCATAACTCATGATTCATTTTTTTTTCTGTTCTCCTTGCTTTAAGACATTATAAAGTTATATCAAGTGTTTTGAAAAATGAGTATCAGAATGTTTTGCATATTAAAGGATGTTTTCAGCTGGTGGAGACCCTAAGAAAAGGTTACAGAACTTCTGGAAAATCACGCAGATGAAAGAAAGCAGAGTGAGTTGCTTTCTTTAGTAGATAGAGCTTTGGCACTTGCGTTCCGAGACCTTTATTTTTTAGTATCCCAGATGGTAACCTGGAGCCACATTGCCATCATTAACCCTTCTGTTTTGCTGTGTAGGTTTGATTATTTCGTTTGATCTCGTTACAAAATCTTTGAACCTTTTTTTTTGTTGTTGTTGTTTTTGTTGTTCCTGCTTTTCCAATCTGAGTTTTACAGAAACGTTCCAGCTTGTTTTCAAGAGAAATGATTTACCTAATGTTAATTTTTCTTCACTGAGCAAAAAATCCTCAAAATTCCAAAAGTATTGTGGAAATCTATAGGGTTAAGTGCTTGGTGACTGATTTCTTGGTCATGTGTGCAATCCTTATGCTCAGAGTCTTTTGAGGATTTTAATTCAAAGAGAAGTATTTAGTTGAGAACAAATAATTTCAAGGTTTCTGACTGTTGAGTCAAAAGAATGTTTTTGTTTATGTGGCTGCTGTTGGGGGTCTGTTCACTCCCAAGATATTAATTGCTTCTTCCTCATTTCTAAAGAGGTAAATATAGACAAAAAAAATCACCATTTGCCATTCTGGGGGTGTAAAGAAAGTGGTTAGCCTAATATTGCTCCTGAGGGCTGCAATAGAACTAGGACTTTCCCTCTGCATTCCTGAAGCTCTCTTCCAATAGTGTACAAATAGGCTGCATTTGTTTTTCCCTATGTTGTTCTCTGCTCAGGTCCTGAAATGATTCTCAGTGCTAGGAGCTAGCTAATAAATTCTCCTCTGCACGGATGAAATGGATTCCTCTCATATTTCCATTTATTAAAGGAATCAAGCTGTGTTATTTCTTCCCAAGACGGGGATTACAGGTGTGCTTGGGAAACTGCAAGGGATGATACCAAACGTAGACATCAGACTTAGAATAAAGGAAGAAAAGCAAGAGTGAGAGTGCAACTGCCATGTCTGCAGATGTGCTCTTCGTTTCACATATTGCCACAGTTAGAAAGTAGACCTATCTGATGATATACTGTATTTCCAGTAATGAATATATGCTAAATATTGTGCTGTACTTGGCATATCCCTACAATGCTTTGATCTTGCCCATTCACTTTCTCTGTCTGTTAGGCAGGTTGCTTGAATCGAACGCTTTGTTTCATACAAAATGGCCATGAGATCATCCAGTGTAGAGAATGCCTCACATTTTTATTTCACTGGGAGAAATGCCTTTATCTCCAGGTCATTTATGCAGTCATGTTGATGGAGCACCTCCTCTCCTCCTCTTTCTCTGACCTTGCTGGCTGCAGGGCTGTGTCTCTCCCATGTCTCGCTCCTCTCTCCAGCTGCTGTGGTGCAGCAGTTTCTCCCTTCCTGCTGTCTGCTCTCCCACAGATGCACCCAGTGTCGCCCAGCTCCTTTGGGAGCAACTGGAGCTGGGTCTGACATGACGTGGGGCACCACTGGGTCCTGCTCTCAGGGCTGCACTCAGTCTTAGTAGCTTGTGTTGTTGACCAAGTCCATTATAATGTTTTGCCCAAGGTGAAGTTCCCTAAACGCGTTTATGTATTCAGGTAACTGCCAGGTTGCAGCGGTCTCCTTCACCTGATAATCTTTAAATAGCTTTGGGAGAGGAAGTTACAGTATTGTGTTTTACTTTTAAAACTCCTCATGTCTTGAAACCCCTCTGGAGGAGCTATGCACTGAGTTAGCAGAATGCAGTTAGGTGAAGTAAAGAAATTGATATTAGAACAATAAGGTCTGAAAGGCGTTTTTCCTCTTGTAAAATCTCGGTCTTGTTTTGATTCAGCTTTTGGCAACTGGCCTTAACCCATGAGTTGACCTTATCTTTGTAGCTGTTTATACTGATGGTGGCACTGGAGGCTGGATATGAAGCCTCGGTGTACCATCTGCCTTCTGCTAACGCTTGTAGGGGTGCTGTCTGACACTTCACTGTCTGCGTATGGATGTTAAGAGGAAAAGGAAACACTGGTTTTTGTGGGGCTTCCCAAGATGTCTCATGATGGAGATGCAGCTCTTTCATTTTTTCCATTATATAACAGACGAGTAAGCCACTGTACTGTCATCTACCAAAGAATGCAGATGTCCAAGGTGGAGCACTGATTTCCTCACAGGTACCTTTGAAGGTTGTCAAAGGGGCGTGAGAACTAACATTTCCTCTCTGCTCAGTGACAGAGACACATCCATTAGTTCAACTAGTTTCAGACCCTTATCAGTTTATGCCAGGTTCAGAGCAGTTCCTTAAATCAGGTAATTTTTTACTTAGTCCCTGTAACCTTTCATAGATACTAGAAGGTATTAGATCAGTGATTGCAGATGTGATAAGCAAAGAGAAGTGAGGCATTCAACTGTACTCCAATACATCTGTGACTTTAGATGACTTCAGAAATAGTGATAACTACATTTCTCTTGTAGGTTTAATAAAAAATACCATGTTCTAATTTCAGGCTTCCAAAGCAGTTCTGACTTCAGAGAAATCGGTGTCTGAAATACCTGAAGCGATGGATGACTTCTTCTGCAATTTTCTGGCTGGTCTGGGTATGTCCAGAACCCTTAACTGCTTCCAAACTGAATGGTGAGACATTTTAAATAACGGGGTAATAGGATATGATAGAAATAATAGGAAGGGAAGCTCAGGATTCAGGTATTTCAGATATTTTAGGCTGCGTCTCCAGAAAACTTTCAGAATGAGTCCCAAATATGCAGCGTTCTACTGGACAAATAAATTTGTTAGATGAGAACTATTGTTTTTAGGACAGATTTTCCCAAAACCTGAATCCAGGGAGCTGCTGAACAGGTACCTTTGAAGGTGCTCACCTATCTCCAGGTGCTTGTAAGCCTGTGGTGATCAGGGTCTAGGGCCTCTTTTGTGACCAGAGAAGAGAAATGCCTCGTTTGTGAGTGTTGTTTAAATATACTCTTATCTTCACTGACTACCACAAAAGACTAGAAACTAGCTGCAATCCAGAAATTGGTGATTGATGAAGTAAGTCCAGTGCAAAATGACCAGCATTTCATTCCAGTGGTGCTGAGAAATACCATGTATCTGCTATTTTCTTGCTTTCCAAAACCTGGGCGCTCACTTAAACACCGAATGCTTTGTAGTGTATCATAGCACTGAGTCTGTTTTACTTGTTTTGCATGAATTTGGGCGTTTTTTGTAGACCTGCTGTGTTGAATAAGCAGTCTTTGACACTTTGTATGACTTAGTAAGTCAGTCAAAACAGTATGGTAGCTGGCTTGCTTTTGTTTGTTCATTTCAGTGTGACTTAAATGATGGTTAGGAAGGAGCACTGTGGTTCTGCACTTGTTACAGCAGTAGGACTGATACGAGCAGTGTAATGGGAAAATGTTTAGCAATTTTTATGGGCAAAGATAATTAATACTGGATGGATATAAATAGTGACCTTTTTGTGAAACTACAGCTTCCTTTGAAGCGTTTACTGTCTGAATTTGTCTCGGTGGCAAAATTCAAATTGCTTTTTAACAGAGCAAGAGCAGGTTTTAGCGGGCTCTATCTTGTAACTCCTGAGGTGTCCATGCGATTTTTGTTCCTCTGTGAGTAGTATGTTTAATTTCAGTAGCATTACCAATAAGCTCAGTGTGTCAGGATGTAGTCCTACTGTATAGCAACTAGCTGTGTTAATACCTGATTTCAAAACCTTACTTCCTGTTGGTTTGAGATAGATAATTGACAGTGTTAATGAAAGTGAGGGCAGATTAGTGTACTCGGGTTCCTCATTATGTATTGGGACGGCTCTCTTGGTCTCACGCTGTGGTGATCAAGTACTAATGGAATTTCAAATGAGAAATTAATTAACGTAGAGAAAATTTATCAAAAGGGCTGCTTTGAAATAATTGTCTGTCTGAGATCTAAAGGTCACTTAAATTGAAGCAAATGATCTGTTTATTTCAGAGCTTGAAAAAAAAACATTTTGGTATGCTGTCCAGCACATAGGTATATAAATAAAACAATCATGATCATGTGAGAGGTCATGATCATTTTATTTTAAGGCAAACTCATTATTTTTTTGATGTCTTGAAAAAATTCATTGCATTCTCAGTCATTTTCTTCACTTAACTATTTTTTGCACATTTTTTTCCTTCCAACTATACTTTAAAAGAAATTAAAATTAGGGTTAACATTAAATTGCATATTCTAAAAGTAATTTAAACTTTCTGTTCCTTTGATATACGAGAATTTACAGTGCTTTTGTTGCTCGTGAAATACACTGGATTGACAGCTCTTGCAGTATGAAGTGCATGAGCTGATCAGCTGTGAATTGATGTATCTGACAGTCTGCAGCTCCTAATCCCAGAGAGCTCACTGCTGCTGGCTGCCTGGAACCAGTCTGATGAGCAGATGAGGCATTTGCTGCTCACACACAGCATGGAGCTATCGCTGCCTTTAGTTAGTAAACTCAATTGATGGCTTATCTCCGAGTGTTTTAGAGACCTAGAGATGCTTCACTTGGGAACAAAATGAGCCCTGCAGGCAAATTACAGAAATGTGATTTGAAAATTCTTTTCTTTTTAACGTGGTTAAAGTTGTGAATAAACTTACGTGATCGTACCAGGTGAAAAGCTGTCTGATTCTTTAGTATACCTTGAAAAGTTGGTCTGGGTCATGCATAACAGAGCATTTGAAGCAAAGCTGCCATGTCTTCCCTGAGTATAAGGGCAGATTGATTTAAAACCTTTTCTGGTAGGAAAACGGATGTAGGTTGTGATCCTCCACGTCATAACTCCCTGAAGACAGTGGAAGCAATCTGCTTGTTTCAGACAGACCGAAGTTTCTTCTGTTGTGGGTCCTCCTTTGCCTCGAAGTCGTATTGTGCCCCAGGCTCGTAAATCCTGAGAGAAATGGGGCTTATTAGTTCCAGAACAGCATCACACTAAAACAGATTCAGTTTTTTTCAATTAGAGCTGGCAAAGAATAGACAAGTAGCTTCAAGTTTGCTTGCAAACCCCAAGTGGGGGTTATGCATATTGTCTTGCTCTTGATGCCAGGCGTCATGCCGAGTGTCTGTCTACGAAGATGAGAATAAAAATCAGTTGTTCCCAGCTTTTCCTTTATTCCCATTCTTGAGGTCATGCAGAGGAATCAGTTGTGGTTCTCAGCTTGAGCTTGTTATGACTGAAACATGTCTGTGTAGGAATGTCAGCTTGGATGTATAGGGCACTTGCAATGCACTAAGTGAATACACTTTGCATGTTTTGGATCAGGAGCAAATAAAAGTATTTCCTGATACTGTTTGTGTACACTAGTTACACATTCAGTGTGTAACTTCTCACTTAATCACAGAAGCATAAATTCATATTTATTTAATTGGTCTCTTGCTGCAGGAGATGGAAGCTTAGATCCTCTTTGTCTTAATCTAGTTTGGCACAAGTCACTTGCCCACAGAGCAAGCATAACATGATAATATGAATTTTCTACTTATATGCCATGATAATAGATTGGAAGAATACACCAGGGCTTTGTTTTTTGTGCTCATTTCTTTGTTAGCCTTCTGTTGAAACTGTTGAAGGGTTTGTCAATTAAAATGATAATTTTCTGTAAGAAATTCTTGTAAAAGCTGAAACTTGAAATTATAGTTTCTGAATGAATCTCTAGGTGAGTTACCCTTTGATAAAAGATTATCCTCAGCTGTCTATCAGTTAGTTTAATTGCGTGGCCTGTCTGCAACCTGATTGCTTTAGAGCTCTTAGGAGCTTGAATTCAGTGTAATTGATAAAGTAGTAATGTATTATTGTAAGTCAGCCTGCCCTGGGCTTTGATCATAAGATCATAGTTGGCCATCTGTTCCTGCGGGTTCCAAATTCTTAGTTAATTGTAAGTGGTGATTCAAGAACTAAAACTCATTTGTTCTGAAAACCTTAAAAAAAGAAAAAAGCTCTTGTGTGCACAGAACTAATTTCATTTTGCATCGCAGTTCCTTTCTGTAATGGAATGAAATGAGAGCAAGAACTAATTGGCCGTCAGCTAGGCATGCAGGAGCTGTCTGAGTTTTACAGGACTGGCTTGATGAAATGAAGTCTCGCAATGTTTTGTGTTTTTCTATTCCACTTCTACTGTTGTGCTCAAAAACCTTCATTTCTGGGAGAGCTCTTAGATGAGAGTGAGTTTGTCAGCATTAATTGTATTCCGTTAAAATTATCTGTCAGAGATTTCAGCTCTTCTGGAGGCTGACTTCATCCATTATCCGTGTCTGACACGTCCTCATGTAGAAAGTTGGTATTTTTTGCGAAGTGCGGTTGGGGCATTCAGTGAAGAAATTTTCCTGGCAAATAGATTGATAGATTTATGGTCATGGGCATTGAGAAGTGCCCTTCAGTATTTTTGGTAGCAATTCTATCTGCACATCAGTCAGTAATCATAAAATAAATGAGCTTCCTTCTTGACATTAGAAGACTGTTGCTGCTGTAATTTGCTTAAGAAAACAAAGTGAAGAAGCAATGAGTTCTGCTTTGGACGCATTCAGCTTAATCTTTCAAAATTCTAATGTCTTTTGGTGTCAAATGTGAATGACAGCTTAATCTGTAGGAATGAGCGTTTCTGCAGCCGCCCATAGAATTCAGATAAGCAGCTGACTATGGGAAGTCATTTGGATACAGGGGTTTCTAACATTCCCCTGCATTTTTTTTTTTGAAAGATCTCAGGTAACAGTCGCTTACTAAGTGAAAGTCCCCTGTTCTGTAGAACTTCTCGTTTCTGCAGCATGGTTTCTTGATCTAGGAATGCTGCACTTACTGACTGTTGAGTTTCCTGTGAAATTATGTTCCTGTCATTTCTTTTTGTGAGTTTCTTCCAGCTGCAGTCAAGATGAGCAGGGATAAAGCTCCTATGCTTGGTTTTCATCTGATAAGAACTACTTACAGTTCTTGCTGAACTTACGTGGAGCTGATGTCACGGCTGCACAATGTCTTTATCTTCAGTGTGTCTGTAGAAGGTTGTACCAGCTGAAGGCCCTCCCCTTCCTTCTTTCAGGATAGAAGCAAAGAAAGAAATAAAGGTTTTGTACTTAGTTGAACTGGGTTCCAGAATAATCTTTGTAGCGTGGGCATGCATGGAAATATCCTATGATTGTACATATGTGCTTGAACCTTGCTATGCTTTGGAATGCTTGGGTAGATCCTCATAGCTTCCAGTCATTCCTTGAACAAGCATGGCTTCTGCAGAACATTTTTTGTGATGACATTCACCTTTTTGCTAAATCCTTTTTAACATTACTGTTTGTTGTTTTTTTTTTATAGAAGGTACTTAGATACTTCCAGCTGCTCCTCATTTAAATGTCTTTAAACCAAGACTAAAAATAATAATGTCAAAGCTTGTCTTTTTATTGCCTGTTAGGTTCGTCTTAGCTTGTTCTGTTGATGTCCTTTCAGAAGGTGAACGTGACTGGAAGGTACCGATCTGTGACTGAATGGCTCAAGTCCCACAGCTGTGGGAAGCACTGTGCTAATTGCTGATGATTATAAAAGAGTTAAATGCCTTCAGTTAGCAAATACCTGCCTTTGTAATTTCTGTAAATGCTGACATGAGAGGGCAAACACCAGTGATCTGAGAAATAGGAAACGTGGAATAAAATCTCCTTCCGTCTTCTCCTAGGTATGAACTCGTAGAGAGAGGTGTGTTCACAGCCAAAGACATTGGGTTTGTGCCAGCTGTGTATACCTGCAACCAGCAACTGAAGGCTGAGAATATGCGTTTGAAAGAAGATTTGGACAACTATAAACGTGCTGCTAAGTATGTCATGTGGTGTAAGGAAACGTTGTTACGCAGCAGTCAGTGACCAGATAAAGTAAACCCAAGTGCTTAATGGAAAGAATAAATTCGTGTTCATTATGCTGCCTGCATGTATTTATACTTTTAGGTGACAATTGCAATTAAAGCTTAATTTATTTTCTGTGCTCTTTTGGAAACAAAAATCTTGATTTTTTTTTTTTTATCTTTACTGGGCTATATAACAAAATTTTCAAGATGCAGTGATCAGAATAAATTAATTCAAAGAATCAAGAGGTTATGATTTGTGGAAGAAGGACCTAAATTATCATTCGTATTACGTAGTAACATATCATACTATAAATTAGAACTACTGCAAAATGTCAGCATAGAAAAAAAACTATTTACTTTCTTCTTAAAAAGGAGGCAAGAAATCAATCACTTTGGTCTTAGCAGTATGTCAGTATAAATAACCTTCATTGATTACATTTATGTGTAAATTGCAGTTGGTGATGTTCCAAGTCAGTTGTACTAAAGATGTGAGAGTTAAAATATTTAGCCCGTGTAGTGGAGATGCAGTCTTTTCTGAAGGAAGGTCGATCTGCACGTGTTCTGTAGGAATTAACCTTCAGAGATAACATCACACTTTGCTTTGATTTTTCCTACTGCTTCGTTTCAAAACATGGGCCTGTAGAAACCACGTAAGCAGTGAGTAAGACAAGCAGCCAAACAAAGTAACTCTCCATCTTTCTGGTTTTTGTCCAGATTGGTCAAGATATCTGTTTTCGTTAACATCTGTATGAGCAACAGCTACTTAGATCTTAAATAGTCGTTATCACCAGCAGTGATTATAATCAAATTACTTTCCAGAGATAATGTTTTTTTATTACATTTTAATTGGAAAAAGTAGTTGACTGTTGTCTAATAGTCTAATGTAAACAGCTGTAATAAAGTCAAACAGTGCACCATCAATTAGACTGGAAGATGGGCCATGTATAAAACACTCCTTTATTTTCATCTGCAGTTTCTTTGGACATTGGTTTTGAGTGCTGAGTGTCTCCTGTGTACATTGGAGGGCAAGGAGCTCTCACATGCACAGTAGAAGACAGCAATACAGAGCCTGGCCCTTCTGAAATGCATTATTGTCAGTAGTTCTTTTTTTTGGTAGGACTTAAACCAGCAGTGGGCAAATTCCTTATATTGGCATTCACTGTTAAATGCTGCACTTGCTCCATGTTTATCATATGAAAACAGTGGTGCAGTTTCTCCTCCTTCTGCAGTGGTAGGGAGAACTTTCACAGTCTTTGTGCTGGTATCACGGTTGAATGTCTGTAACCGTGGAACAGTTTGTAACAGTGGTACCTATTTCACTTGTCAACATTTTTTAATATAACATGTTCTTCTTTGTTTTCATTAGTACAGTTCATTTCACTTATTTGTTTTGAGTATTCTATGAATTGAAACAGCACTGTTTGTGGAATAGAGAGGGAAACAGAGAGGTTTTGCTGTGCTGGTAGTGAGTTAGCGTTTCCTTGTCCTTAGGCTAAGCCTTGGCTGTGACACCTGGCTCTATCTGCTTCTGTTGAGGTGTTTCATGAGATTTTTCTTGTTCGTCCATTCAATAACCAGAGTCAGTCAGTACCTTTGATAAAGCTAGTATTTGTCAGGAGTCAAAATTACCTAGAGGACAACTCGGGTTTTCTAATATTGTGAGAAAGAATTCACCAACTTGCACTCGCATCAGGATGCCTAAGAGCTCTGAATAGATGCTGATTTGACTGGTTAAAAAATGATGATGTCATTTCAAAGAAAGACTTGTATTTTGCCATGTGGATTTATCAGAAAGCTTTCATGGTCAGAATGCAGTGCTGTCAAGCTTTTAATCACATTCGGTATTTCTGAGCTTGCTACTCTTGACAACCTTCAGCTGAAAAGAGGCCGTGTTGGGACTGAAAGCAGTATGGGGGCCCAGGTTAAATGGCTGTAAAGCAGTTCCCTTCTGCAATAATGTTGTTCAACAACTGGTGGAAGGGTGTTTAGAAGGGAAATGCAATTTTGGGTGTATTAATGTAGCATTTACGTGATTGCATGACAAGCAGCAAGCAAATAGAATGGATTTCAGTCTGTCGGTTGTGTTTCACTGTGACTTTTTGTTGTTTATAGGGAAAATGACAGCTGACCTAACAGACTGTATGCAGCAAGTGTACGTGTCTAACAGATTGTCCAATATCTGAAGTTGTCTTGAAATATAACAAAATCCCTCAGATGTATATATTAAAAGAAATAAATCAGCCATTCCCTTAAAGCTTAGATTTTCTAGTAACGTTGAAATAAATTACTAAAAACAGGTATATTCAGGTAGGAATAGGTTTGTTGTGTAACAATAGTGAAGATATACTGAAGTGTACTCCGTTTAGTTTCATCTTGAAAGCCACAGCTCTCTGATCCTTTGATAAGGGATGCTGTCTGCTATAATATTTCTCCAATAGTGACCTAGATATTCTTCCTAATACACAAGAAACACCTGAAAACATTATCTCTAGAAATTGTTGGCTCTCAAAGTAAACTGATTTAATTGGTTTTCTTCAGTGATGATTTGTCATGCAAGAATTTAATGTTACAGTAACACTCTTTGGTTGTGAGGTGAATAATGAATTATGAGTTCATAACTACGTTAAACTCTGGCTCTCTAATTTTAAGTGCCTTGATATTTTCCTGTGACCAGATCCTTTTCTTGCTTCTGTGTTTAAATGTATAGGTAGACAACGTGATGAGAAATCAATTGTAAGATTGCATTAGTCGTATGGACTGCTGTGATAGAAATTCTTTAAACTATTAGGAATTTATTTAGTAGATGGAATGAAAATTGCTTAGGGTCTCTGTCAGTGCATTTTATAAGTACACAAATACCAATTAGGAGATGAAAATATTTGCAGGTAGCTTTGTGCCTTGAGTTTTGGAAACATGCTCACAAGTCACAGGCAGTGCAATGGTTAAAAACAAAGCAGTCTAGGAAAACGTATTGATTATTGCTATTGCTGCTATCACCAGCAGTAAAATCAGTTGATTCCTACCTCTCTGCCAAAATGTTCACAATGCTGCACTTGTTTATTCATTTACACCATGAAAAAATACAGAAGGTTCACACTTTCATGTTGTGCACCATACTTAAACTTACGTCTTTAATTATGTGGTACTTTTAACGTTCTTGATGCTAGATAGATTCCATAAAAGCAGGAGGAGATACACTTTGTAACATTCTCTTTATGTTGATGAATATTCCTAAGGCTGCATCTTTCAGCATCTTGGACAACTGGCTTCCACATGAGTTTTGTTGGAACAAGGCACGAGACTTACCTTTGAAAATCCCTACTTGGTTTTATTGAGCTCTGCCTTCTTCTGCCATTTATAACAAACTGCTTGAGAGGAGTTTAAGCGGATAGGCGTGCGGTCTCTGACGTGTATCTCAACCAAGCCATCTGCTTAGCTTAGAAGGACTGGGTTTTGTATTGCAGGTCTTACGGCAAGTCACATTTTATGTGATGGTGTTACGATGGAGGCGTTTCGCGGAACTGTACTAAAATCAGTGGTGATTCATTTACCTCTCAATTTGTTTGCCATCCTCATGAGTTTCAGCAGAATCGTTAATCTGTACTTTATATCCCTATGTCAGTGTTCCAAGTTATTCTGTTTCACAACTGTAGTGTGTGTGTACACAAAGCTATGTATGTGTCTGCAGCTTTATGGAGTCTTTTTCTAGTGGTTTCTGCAGGGGAATTCCTGCCTGTTTGCATTTCTCTGTCAGCTTTGACTGCTATACACTGTCATTAAATCCACACTGTGCTTTTCTTCAGGTCTTTTTGACTGTTGCTGCTACAAGCAGTGATTCACATATAAATATGATAGTTTCTATCGGTAGTAAATAAAGCAAATGTGCACATATAGTGAATATATATTATTTGTACTATTAAATACAAGGCATTTTATATGTAATACTTACAGGTCATGTTTCTGGACCTGTAATTTTTGCATGCACTCTTGTCACAGTGGTTTTCCTAACAATTCCACTCCTCTGTTGAGGATGAAATGAGCTTTATTTCTGCAAAGAGCAAATATCCGATTTCTGTGCAAGGTAATTTCAAGCTGCCTTTGTAATTTAATAATGCATGTACTAATCTTTCCTACCAAATACACATAAGTAAGAGCGAGGAGAATCCTTATATAGTAAATATGCAGAGGGGTATTTTAAGTTTACAGAGGAAAGTGTCTGTCCCCTGGCTGTATGTAGAATATGCTTAAAGAAAAACAGGTTTTTGGTATGTTTGCAGTTAATTTTGAAATTGATCTTTTCCTGCCTGCTGTGATGTACAGAGGGTAGCACCTGGGAATAGGCTGCATGCTGTTGGGTAGAGCCTAGAACTTTTCTAGTGTAGTTTTCTTCCAGAAACGCTCTAACCACATGTATTTATAGGGCACCAGGGCACTTCTCCATCTGTCTGTGTCTGTCCGATACGTCCTGCTAACTCTGAGGTTTATAATGCCAGAATCCCTATGGATTCCACCTAAAAGAACGGAGGAAAGGTCATGAGGTGAAGAGTCTCCATGGTTTTGTATGCCACTAAGCAGCAGAAAACCTCGAAGTGTATTTTTCTTTTTTACCACAGGGCATACTAGCAGGTCTCACACTTGGATACAGTATATATGTGCATATCTGAATATGTATTCTGTGTGAATTCAGCACACAGTGGGAGGAAGCTAATACATTTCTCATGCATTTTCTGTTCACATGCAGCAAAGCAAAAGAGGCTTTCCTAAAAGTGCAGAAAGAACGTGACTTCCATAGGATGCACCATAAGCGAGTGGTCCAGGAGAAAAACAGGCTCATATGTGACATTAAAAGGTAAAAAACAAAAGGATTTTGCTTAATGTAAAAATAACATCTTCAGTTCTTACTTGATGTGTGGGAACTGTTAGGTCATGGACTGAACCAGTGATTGAGCATCTGGTGTCGAGGCATGGCTTGCCCCAGGAGCACAAGTGAGAGCATTCACTTGCATGACCTCAAGTGTGGACCCAGAGGCTGCCCCTCTGTAACCTCATTTAAGGACTGGTAGCTGAGAAGGGAACATCTCTGTTGGGAGATCACTTCTCACCAGAAACTCCCAGGGAGCCCTCACCTTTGGAATGAGATAAGCTATTCCTTTCTTAGTCCTGGCTTATGACTAATGCCTTTCCCAGCTTGGTCTCCCACCAGGTTTTTAGGACATTTCCTATTTCTCTTCACCTGATACACCTGGAAATAAGATAATGTAGAGGCATTTAAAGTGCTGAAGTAAAGCTGGTTATGTGAAACTTATTATGATGCTTTGATTGCAAAAAAGCCCAAACTAGGCCGTTGGTATTGAGTTAAACTAATTCATGCTAGGAAATTTAATTTCATCATTCTGACATTCAGAAAGCATAATAGAGCTCAGTTTACTTCTGTGTCTCTTTCTCTCAACAAGTACGTCTTGTATGTTATCCATATGAAAATCATTGGGCCAGCTGGAGGAGCTGAGTCTAGAATCTTTTTGCACATTTCTGCCCATTTATTAGTTTTAAAGCAAAACCGTAGGGTGCTTTATACCCACAGCTCCAAACATTTCCTGGAATTCTGGCCTGTCGCTATTGTTATCATTACGTGCAACAGAAGCTATGAGTTCTATGCATTTAACTTTCAAATCCATATGTATTAATGCAGGAGAGCACTGTTCACTGACTCTGTATGTCAGCTTTGCGCTGAGCAGTTTCTCTTGAGAGATTATATATCTGACTTTAGTTTGGTCTGAGGAATTGAAGTGGTTAATATTCTAAACATAGCGTTCACTGCAGGTAACAAATGGTCACCATATTACCCATTTTGCCTGGATTAGGATCTTAGTCAGTAGTCTGGAGAAGTTTGAGGAAGCATTTGTCTCTTCTTGTTCACAGGCTGAAGGCGCATTATGCTTCGTATGAGCCAGTGCTGAAGCAGCTGACTGAGAAATACCAGTCTGCACTGAGGCAGAAGATGTTAACTGGTTTGGAGAGGGACAGAGCGGTTGGGCAGGTAAAATGATGGTAGCCTCTACTTGCGAAGCTGTACGAAGTGCTTTTGGTAAATAATTTGATAAATAGAATATTTGTGGTAGAACAACTTGCTTTATGTGATAGCTTGAAGCAGGATATTTTAGTGAGTTCCATTTTATTTGGTAATATGTTAATACTGAAAATATGTGAATCTTAGTGCTCTAGGTAGTAGTTCTCATTTGTTGCCAATGCTTGAAGAGCAGTGCTAAGTGATGTGCAGCTGCTGCACGTTCATTCTTTGTCAACAGATTGAGGAAAGGTGTGTTATTACTACAGATTCATATGTTTTCATCTATACTTTTTAGAAATCTCTTAATTTTACTGCTATTTATTTATTTTTCTCCTAGTTGTATTTTTTCCTAACTAGTAGGTACCAGAGATTTTGTGCCAGGAATAATGGAGTACTGTTTTGCTTCTGTGATCTTAATTGATGTATAGGTTGGTATACGTGACATTCCATTCCATTAGCAGACGGTACTATAAGCACAGATAGGATGGGCAAAGAACAGAAAATTATCTTTGCCATGTTTAGCTAATAGGTTGTTTGCTTAGAAGGAAAAAAGAAACTCTGAAAATGCACTGCATTTCAACAGTAGCATCAGCTGTACGTGGGTGACATGAAAGGAATTCAACATACTGACGCTCTCTTCTAATAGTTCTCATCTCTCATTTCCTCCTTTCCTCTGCCTCCTGGTTTGCTCAGGTCACCTGGGGGCTTACTTTAAAAGTGTTCAATAAATAAAAGACGACGTGTTAAAGAAAAAGAAAGGTTACTGTCCAAATGTAGTTATTCTGACTCAGGAATACAAAACATAACGTAGTTCCAGTGCTGTGGAATCTCAGGGATATAAAGAGCTATCCTGTATGAACTGTAAGAATTCTGGAGCGATGGTGTTTTTGTAACAGCACCTTATTTTGTGATATTTTTATGGTAAAGCTGCATGTCATATTGTACCTTGGAATTTAAGACCAGTGATAGCAGTGGTTAAAAGCTGCTAGTAGGTATTGGTCCCAAAAATTACACGTGGCTGCTTTGTTTTAAGAAAATAATAGAAGTACTTTGAGAAATTGTGGATGGCTTGTCTTGTATCACACCGTTGTGTTGGGCGTTTCCAAAATCTAGAATTAAATTTAATGTTTTTAACTTAGAGAAAATAAAAACAAATGCATGGAGCTTAAGCAGATATCAGTGACGTGTGTTGTGAACACAGCAAAATCAGAGTTCATGTAACCTCCTCTTGTTCTCTCCTCTGCTCTACTTTAGGTTACAGGTTTACAAGCTGTATTACATAATTTAGAGTCCGGATGTGCAATTCAGATTCCTGCAAAAAAAGGTAGAGTATTTCTAACAACAAACTCACGCTGATCAGGAGCTTTTTCTTGTTGCGGTGCGTTACAAAATCTGGTGTAACAGTACATTAAAAGCACTAACACTGTAAACAGTTTTATCAGCTGTCTTGGTGACTGAGCAGCAACTTTACAATGTGAATATTTTTTCAGGCTGAGGACAGTGGGGCTGCTCATGACAACATGAATATGATTATGGAAGGCCTTAATATTAGGAATCTGTGTGGTCTGATTGTGTTATTTTATCTATTAATACTCTTCTTTTAATGAGTGGGTTTGTTTGTTTGTTTTAGTTCCCTGTAAGAAGGTATATGTGGTGCTATGGGAACATTTTGAAAATACTAGTGTATCTAGTGTATGTCTTTAGCTGTATGATATGGCTTCAAACAACTTCCCTGTTGCTTTGAATAAATGCTTCATTATTAACTTTTCCTAACTCTTATCACAAAAAAAATTTTTGGCACTTTATTGTCCTCTGGTTTGCTAGGTAAGTGAAGTCTGTGCTACCACATATTTGTGAGCACCTCTGCCGCTAATGATTTTGTACCTGCTTCCAATTTCAGTCGAATTGGATGGAGAGAGAGAAGTCTGAAAGAAAACAGGTTTAAAGAAGACTCGTGAAAGTAGATGAGATGATAAAGGGAAGCAGTAAGCGCTACTCTCTTTGACAACAGAGCATTCGTAGGGGAAGGGTGTTTTGCACGTAGCTTCTGTTATGAGCAGTGCTTCAGATTTGACATTAGAGAACTCAGAACTTCTCAATCATGGCAGTGTTACGTACCGTGCAGCTTTCCAGTGAATCATTTCCTGCAATTAGGGCTTAAAGAAGTCCCTTGAAGCACACCCAAATATCTCTTCTGTTTAGATAAAGAGCATACTCGTTTTTATTTCTGTATGGACCTGGAAGGATTCTGCGGACTTACTGGTATAAACTAAGCTATAATTTTTATATAATATAGAAGCAAATAGCTTTTAAATTAAAAACAAACAAACAAACAAAAAAAACAAAAAAACAAAAAAAAACCCTTCTGTAATTATTTATTTTATCCGTTAAAACTGCCGTCTTCCTGGTTTTTGGATTCCAATGCCTTTTTTGTATGAAATAATATTGTATTTCTCAGCAAGGTGCATTTTGGGCCCCCAGAATTTCTATGTGTGGCTGTGCCTGTGGGATGTGCTCTCCCCTCATCTTTAAATCTTGTTACAACTGAAGATACAAACCTGTGTGCTGCTGGAATGAGCTGAACTCATTTTCATTCCACTTGAGACAGTGAGGTAGAGACTGGGCTTTTTGTTTTGTTAGTTTAGGAGGAGGGCACATAGCGTTCAGCTTTTCATTGTACTCAGTTTGCAAATATATATTGTGGGTTCTTCCCCATGCTAGTGTTTTGCTTTATAGATGCTCTATCTGTCCCTTCCCCACTACACATGCTCTCATTTGTTATCTGAGTGAATCCAAAAACTGCTCTCTGGCTGCTCGCAGTTCTTGTTTATTCTTCAGAAATCTTGAGAGCACTTAATAATACCAGAAAGTGACAAGCAGGGGAGCACTTTATAAATGAAGAAATTAAAAAAAAAAAAATAAAATAAAACATTTGGTCTCCAGCATAAATGATTAAGCTCATCAGCCACCCACATGCTTATACAAGCTTTAATTTTCCTCATACCCTGTGTATTGCAAATTAAGCAGTATTTCAGTTGGTTTCTAGCCAACACTTTGCCCTCTAATATTACGTAATTCTTACTGCGCTCTGTAGGTCACACTCACGTCTCAGTGGGTGATATTCTCTGGTTCAGATACTTTCTGTAGCCTCTTGAATTCTTATTCATGTGATGGTGCAATTGAAACCTTGAGCAGCAGCGGTGCATGCATACTGGGGAGATGTTTGCTGCGTTTTTCTCTGAATTTAAGTTCTTAATTCAGAAGGAACCGGTGCTGTTGGGCTGGCAAGTCTCTGCTGTAAAGAGGCATACGGCTGCATTATTTTTTCCAGTTCCCATCTCTTCAGGACTTGGGTACTTCGTACATCGGTACGTTTCAGTTAGAAGTCAGTGAGCACTCAGGTTGGCAAGTTTGCCAAGGTGAGGTGCCTCTTCTGGCCAGCTGTCTGCTTTCATTGCAGCACGGAGCTTGGAGGTGTGAGGATGGCTGTTTGCCTGGCAGCAGGAGGTTGCCTATCACTGCTGCTGCTTTTTTCCCACACAGTAGCTTGGCAGTGTAACACCTGGAACAGTGATTTTGGCTGGAGGGCATTGAAGGTGGCTAGTACCTAGGTTGGAAACTGGTGGAGAGTTAGAAGTTCTGAATAGCAGCAGTGAGGTTCAGCACAAGCAATCCATTGTGGGTTGTTTGCTTTCAGTGTGAACTGTGCACCTTATAATTGAGGACAAAGGGAAGCTGCTTCTTATAAACGTGTATGTGGCAGCTAGGTAGAAGTGAAAGTAAGAGAATTTAATGCAAGTTTAGGACAGCAGTTCTGGGTATTTTACGTAGGTGTTTGATGTAGCTACCTTTAGCCTGATGCTTTTCAAATAATGGAATGAGCTAGCATCTGTGATACAGAGCATGTAATTTAATTTATTTACTAGGTGTTCTTTAGTTTGTTTCTTTTTGTCCTGCTGCCAGTCAGACTGCTATTTAGCTTTGCAAACAGTGCTTGTACCCAAATCTTCAAGAGCTGGTCATCTTCAAGTGTTTTTTAAATGCTTACCAGTTTAAGGCTTTGTTTTCTGTTCACTCGCTGTGTTTGGAGTTGACAGGAAGAACAGTTAACAGTTATGGAGAAATTAATTTGTGCTCATGATTAGGACTTGGCCATTTGGTAGAATCTTTCTACTTGCACTCGGAAGTCAGTTCTGAAAGATAAATTGGTGTAATTTGATTTTATGTTTTGAGATAATTTTTAAAAAGGTTTGGATGTTTTTTTGCAAGAACACTTGCATTAAAGCCGTTCAGAAAAATGGTGCCATGATCATACATAGAGACATCTAGTTATCAAAGAGCATTCACATTTTTTTTTAATTTTATTTTTATTATTATTTTTTAGGATATTGATAGATATTAACAGATCATTTGCATCCTTACTTGTGGATCAAGGCATAATGTTAAGTGGTTCTGTAAGGAAAAAAATAAAAATAAACACTTTTGCTTGAAAGAACTAAGCTATTTTGGTCATGGTTTACTTATAAACCTGGCTGCGTGCTATTCTAACAACTGGTTCTCTGAACATCTTGTAGAGCTGTTATTTGCTCAGTGTGTTTCTTGAATTTTCTGAGAACAGGAACTGCTTATTTATTACCCAATTATATTCAAAAGTTGAACTCTGTGAGCTTCTTTAGTCATGGTTGAACTGCCTCATTGCTGAGCCTGATAACTGTTCTTTTCCTTTCTTCGATCTGCTGTAATTGCTCTTAGAAGGTCATGTAAAAAGAAATTTAAAAGCCACTGGCTAAAGTAGTTAAACCTAGTTGTCCCAGTTCTAGCTGCGGTGCAATCAGAATACAAGATCTACGAAGACAAGCTGTTCTCCTCTTAATGCAATCCTAATGGTTCAATGCAGTTTGGCTTCTTGTTGTTGGATGGCTTCAGATTTCAGAGCCCTTCAACTATGGTAACTCTGTGTTCATTTACAAATATGTGCGTTTCAGAGGCCCCACGGGTAGCAGTTGCTGAGTGAGGGAGGAAGTGTTTGCTTAGGAAAGTGTTTTCCATTATGCAGTTTCTCAGACAGAAAGTTATTTAAGGTGTCTGTGATAGTAGATTTAACTTCCGAAGCAGTGAGAATAGAGATATTTTGTCAGACCAGGCACAGCTGTTTGTATGAATTAATTTTACTTTGTTTTGATATATAGGAAATTTTTTTACTTTTTAAATCCATTATTTTTGTCTCAAGAGAATCATAGAATGGCCTGGGTTGAAAAGGACCTCAAAGATGATCTAATTTCAGCCCTCCTGCTGTGGGCAGGGTCACCAACAACTAGTAACAGTAGAGAGGGTTTTCTCATTTCTTTTTTCCTCTATAAAGACAAAGCATCCATTTTGTGGTCGAGGTTTTACTCACATTGTCTTGTAAACATTTAGACGTGTGGCGTTAACTTCAGTTGTTTCAACTTGGATTTTAGCTGTGTAATCTGTTTCTGGAGCAATATAGCTGTCCAAATCCTGTTGGAATTGCACGTTTTCTTATTGTGTGTACATGGTGCAGGCTGTTGTAACTAGGTACAAAGATAGAAATGGACTGTACTCAGATGCATGGAAGCTGCCACTGCTGAGGGTGTTGAAGAATGCTATCTCTTCTGCTGGTTACTGGCGGATTTGCTGTGTGGTGGTACATGTGAGCCATATCTTTCCTCCTATTCCCTACCACCTATTCTGACAATTTACAGCTACTTTAACTGCTTAGGATTTCTGTGCTGTTGTCCATGTGTAAGTAATTGCTTGTTTGAAAGGTGTGTTGTGAGAAAGGGCAAAGAAGTAAAAAGCAATGTAAGTTGTAAATCAGAGGAATACGTTTGTGGTAGATATTAGGTAGGATGCAGTGAGATGATGAATGGCATCCATTTTATTGTGACTGTGTCCTGTACAGAAAGATTCAAAATTATTGCAATGTTTTGAGGGCGAAATCGGAGCTACCTATTATTTAAACTGAAATAGGTCCCACCAAAGCAATTAATGGATTGTTAGTTATATGGCTTCTTGGAATACTTAAAATGTATGTTGCAGTAACCTTGGATATCTTTCTATTTAAAGCAGAGTTTCTGCTGAAACTTTTTATGTCTAGTTGATATCAAGAGACATTTTTCAGGGAAGTGAAAAAACGTGATGACACTTACCTTGGGTTTTGTTTTATAGCTGGCCATGAATGTGAAAGGAAGAAGGGTTTGGAAGGTTCCACTCAGAAAGCTCTTCAGGAGGCAAGGCAGCAAAAAATGCTTGATGCTGGTCCGGTTCAAGATTCAGAGAAGAGGAGATATCCAAAGGTATGCACCTTTCTTTTTAGCTGTTCAGTATCTAATGTAACCTATGCTAGATATGATGAGTAAGCTGTGGTGGAAGATGTTGTCCAACGTGGCTGAAAGCGGTCTATTCCGTGGTGACAGATATTTCATGAACATAAGTAGATCAGTAGGTATCAAATTCTAATTTTTTAACGTGAGATTCTATGGGGAGTAATTTTTCAGGGAATGATAGAGCCTCTTATGAGCTGAGGCCAGCAAACTACTTTTCAAAAGCCTGATGTCGTCACCCCACAAAGAGCACTGCCTATTAATGCATATTGTGCTGTGTTTTCTGTAATTTGGGAGAAATCTCGATGTGTTCCGTAAGACTTCTCAAGCATTTCAACTTGTTTCAACTGTTTTTTAAATGGTATTAGATCTAGGGTAGTGAAAGGAAGAAAAACAAGGTGAATTATTAATTGACCCTGGTATTTTCTTAACTTGAGTGTACCAAGATGTGCTGCTGTTACATTTTGCAGGTTGTACAAAAAAGAATTCCCAACAGAATTTTTCTAGTTGTTGGAACAGTTGTTTTCTTTACTTGGTTTATTTCTTTCTTTCTTGATTTTAAAGTTACATTTGGGGGCTCTATAATAGTACAGATCGAGGTAAACATTCTAAAATGTGGAATTTTTAGGCTCTTAGAAATGTTGCTCTGGCTTATTTTTCTCGTTTGGGAACCACTGTTAGGGTTGATATGTTTCTGCAGAAAGCACAACACTATATCTGTTTAGGGTGTTGTAATGAGAACCAACTTGAGGCTTTCATATCTCTTCTAAGATACGTCTCTAGTTTTTTGTACATTTTATCTTTTTTTTTTTTTTTTTTTGAGAGCATTTATTTTGTTGATACCAGCAGTGTAATTCTGCTTTAAGAAATATATATCGATGAATTTCTTTTTTCATCCCTTTTCAATGTCTCCAAATTTTTTATACATAGTCTTGCTTTTAAAACACTTCTCATGGAAGTAACTCCATCTCTACTGTTTGCCCACCTATTACTCGTTGAGTATTACTGAGTCACCTGCCAGTCCCTTTCACCTTCTGTGTTCTTCACCACTGCTTAGAAGTGTTCATCTCAGACTCTTAGATGGCCCTTTCTTTCGTTTTGACTTGTGAACAGATGAATATTTCTTGGCTTACAGAATCCCATTTTTGTTCCTGCTCCTACTGAAGTCATCACTACTTTTATAGTAAATTTTAGTGGAGTTAATGTTTTGCCCCCAGAATATATAAACTCAGGTAGTCTGCCTGTCTGGCTTGCTCTTGCTCTTGAAATTCATGAGCACTGTTAGTTGACTGGTTCTGGCAAGCATCTGTGCTTCTGCAGATCTTAGGTTCCCAAAAGACTCTTAAGAGGCCCAGATGTCTTTATTTAATCAATGGATTAAAAAACTGGAGCAAGTCCAGAAATAAGACATCAGAAAATAGTTTGAGTGTGCTGGATTTTTGTCTTGACTGATGGATTTTAGATTTTAGTATGAGGTTAATAACGGATTGGTTCTGAGAATTGTATCACATGGGTTGTTTTTTTCCCACTTCACATAAACATCAGAGGAAATGGTGAAGCTGTATGGGGCAAGTTAAGATTGCTAAAAACAAACGCACTCTCACAACTTTGTTCTGTAGTGTGCACTTATTGAATTATGGTACTAATCTATTAACTTTATAAATAGCATATTTGTGCTAAACATTTTGGCTTGCAAAGTGTTTGTTCCCATGGAAAGGATTGGGAGTAAATGAGCCCCCTGCCCTCTTCAGGTCAATTTATGTGACGTTTGGAATAGAACTTGTATATGCTGCCTCATCTCCTTTGGCCCATATCAAAAGATCAGCTCAATTTGACTGTCTCTTCAGTGTGACTTAGCTTTTTTCATATAGTGCTCAATTTCAATGAGGCTTTGTCTGTATTAAAGAATACACTATAAACAATATTTTTGTTCTCGTTTGTAGTGATGACAGTAGCTCTCTGAATGTGTTTTGGGGGGTAGAATTGCTTACAGAAATTTAAATTTAGGCTTTATACCACAAATGAAGTAAGGAGTGTAGTTGAAAGCAAATAGATTGTCATGAAGTTATATCCTTGAGCCACAATTATAAATGTTTGTGTTAGCTGTACAGCTATGGAAATCAAAATGATTTAAAGTCTTTTCTGTGTCTTGTAGCTAAATAATGATGTAAGAAATGCCTCTGCTTACTTCTAAGTAGATGCAAATATGACTCATAGCTGAGGTAGAACATTGACTCGAAGGGCAGGCATGTATTGTGTTACTGTAATATGCCGTATTAGCTGACGTGTAATTTAAAAGCTAATGTCCCTTTGAGGTGAAATTGATCCTTGAAGTAGTGAAAAAACAACTGGAAGTTTTTTTGAGAGATGCATTCTTTTGATTTTGAAATCTTATTTTATGAGACTGCAATCATCCAGTAGCAGGCAATTAGGCTGAACTGATTACTTATCTAGTTCTTAAAAAGCCAGTATCGATAGCATCAATATTATTAGATTATTAATTAGCTGAGAGTACTGCTTTAAACATTCAAATAAATTAAAATGCGCTTACAGATCATTAAAATTAAGGAAGCTTTGATAATTTGACTTCCACTATTAGCTACAAATTTAATTTTTCAGTTTTATGTTATTCTTACTAATTTTTGTCAGGTTCCCCACAGACTATGTTCTCTGTTTGATTTCTGTTAGTTATACTAGCAGGGCAATTGCAGCTTCTCTGTATCAAGTTGCTTCAATTTCCACACGTAATCTATTATGACGCAGTTTCATTTTCTGGAATTTTATTTGGTATAAAACTTTATCAAAAGGGGCACGAGATGTTTCTGGTGACTGAGATGTTACCCGTCTCTGTGGAATGGATTTGGAAATTATGGTGAGTGGCACGTTAAAGAAATTACACAAGTGAAATCCGGTGATCATAAGTAACTGCTAGCTTTTGTAAGTCATAAGGCTTAGGGTCCTAATAGCACATGCTTGCATGCACAAAACTCAGTTTTCTCCTCAGTTGTATGCAAGATAGTGTACGAAATTTAGAAGCTCCACTGTTTCTGTATTGTGAAACAGAAGAGAAGCTAAAATAAATGATTTCTTGATCAGATTATTGAGCGTGACTATAAGGTATACGTAAATACGTAAGCCATATTGGAGTGGAATTGGAGAAATAGAAAGGGTGGTAAATGAAATAGGCAATCATTTTGGGTTTGCAGTAAAATTAGCAAGAAGGTACTGATTTCATTTTCAGTAGAGGGAAGAAAAGTGACAGATAAGTCAGGTGTTCTTATTTCTCTGGTCCTTTATTGGGATAGATTTCCAGTCAGATCCCAAAGAAGATAGAATTACGAAAGGTTTCATTCAAGAGTATGAGAAAGAAAATACATGCCTGCATATCAGATGAGGAACTAAGTAAAAAGAAATTATAAACTGGTAATTGAAGTTGAAATTTCCCAAGAATTCTTGATTGGAAAAGTGGAAATGTCTGCACACGTAGAAGAAATAGGAGATGCTGTGGGTAGAGGAGAAGCAGTAAATGTTATTGCTTTACATCTTCTTGTTAATTGTGAGTCCGTCTGTGTTTTTTAATAAAGCTTTGGTTACTGTCTCTCGGGTCATTCCTACACGCATCTGTGGAAATTTGACCTAATGAAAACTTTCTTAATGAATGGAAGACAGATGGAAATAACACACAGCTGTATCGAGTAGGCATTTGCAGGGATATGTTTTCATTAATGACGTGAGAAATGAAATACTCTGACTAAATTTGCAAACCCATTTATTCTGTTTGGGCTTGACTGCAACAGTAAGTGCAGCTGAGGACAGGAGTGCGATTCAAAACTTGACCCATTGGAGAATTTATTGGGGGGGTGGGAGGAAGGCAATGTAAGAAAAGGTTCAGAACTCTACCTTTACAAAAACAGTCAACTGTACAAATGTGGATCAAGATGAAAATGAGCAGTTGATTAAATACTGTTTCTTTAGAATAGAATCTAGCGTTTGTTTTATATAAAACAAAATTAGCATAAATCAACAGTGACACATTGCAAAATAGCTTAATGCTGTACTGCAGTGCAAACCAAAGATGTACAGAGAATGTGAAATAACCCTCTTGCTTTGTTCGCGTGGCTTTGAGCGCAGAGTCACGTTCAGTTGGCTCACAGTTCTCCCTTGTGGGAGAAATGTTGCACCTACATCAGAGCAGCAAGAATGATTAGAAGTCTGTGGAACTCAGTTGTGAAAGAAAGGGTGAAAGTTGCGCTGTTTACAGAGGGGGAAAAAAAGACTGTAATATTTAAAATGTAAATGAATTCTGAAAAAATAAAAAGGAAATAATGTGATAGAACAGGAAGTAATAAGGTCAAACTCCCGTAAGAAATAAGAGAACTTGAGATTGCATATTAAAATTCATAATAGTAAGTATGGTGCAGTTCTGGATCCGATTGCCTCGGGAGCTCCTGTCAGTGGAACAGGGCAGACAGGTTTGTCTGAGGAATAACACTGGTGTAGTTGGGAGAAGAGAATCGCTGACCAACCAGCAGAGGATTTTCTTCCCTGCCATTATTAGGTTTACCAAAAAACCGTGCTTTGGCAGAAAATACCTCCACCTTGCTCTAAAGAAGCAGACTCCTTTTAACTTCATATGAAAGAATAGTGCTGTCAAAATCATCTTCTACCATTAGTTAGACTCAGTGGCAGAGAATAGGGAAGTCGCACAAGTCAGTGTCTGCAGACAGGGAGGCAGTGAGATGATACGCCAGCTGTAAACGTTTATGTGAGAACCAGTGAGCATGGCTGTGACTCCAGACTTAGAGCATGAACAGCACCTTGTCCAAAGGGCTGCCATCAGATGTGGAGTGGGAGCTGGGGGTTGCTGTGATGGTAGTGGGTATGAAGAAGCCAAGCACAATCATATTTAGAGTATTATACCTCTTCTACTTAGGAAATTACTGTTCTGTGACTCAGATTTTAAGAATGTGATC